CAGAGCGGGATCAGTTGGTCTTTGGAACCCAGTCGATTTTGAAGCTGGGTCGACCTTTGTCATCAGTGAAAGGTACTATTTCCCATGAATCTTATTATACATGAAATAAGGTCATAAGAAGTTTAGGATTACCGGTCCTATATTGAAGAGTCCTTTAGATCAATCGATATATCAAACAAAGACAATAAATAAGAACAAGAGAAATTCACGAAGAAAAACTTTCACTAAGAAAGATAATCTCACAAAGAGATTATCGTGTGCACAAAGCGACGATTAGGGTTTGTGAAAGGCGTGATGATTCACAAACCTGTACAAGATAATATATACTGTTATTCTAGACAATCCCTACAATTCAGGGATACGCTAGCTAATAAATCAAGATAACTAAGGAAACAGAATAAATACATGATTTGTTACAATGCACTGAATAAACTAAACTAATACAAACTGAGCAGTTACACGCTGGTGCTGATGCTGAGACATGTGCTGACGCTGAGTCTGTTTTAAACATAATCATATTTCAAGGTTTGACCTTACAATCTCCCCCAATATGATGATGTTCAAAACAAACTAAATAAAGACACCTCTGGAAAGAAATTCTTCATACTCAGCTTCAGCTTCAATTTTAACTGGCCAGTAAGGACTGTCCAGCAATTCCTGTCTTCTGTTCAGCAGCTCCATGGCAATAAGAATGTGAAATTCTCCGGATAGATCTTGATGACTCATGCACATTTGCCTTAAGCCAACAAGGTGAGTGGTTGGAGCCTTTGGGATCTCAGTAGTTCGTTGAAAGCACATCCTCCTGTTTTTGTCTAGATAGAACATCCCGTGTTCAGGAGCTGAGATGAATTGATGCTGAACCGGATCAACACCTAGAGGAAGTGAATTGTTAATTACACCAGCACCAAAGTCTAGAACCAATACATCTTCACCATCAACATGAAACTTGGTTCTTCGAGATCTAGGAACTGACGACCTTTGGCCTTGATGCTGAGGTCGTTCTTTAGGAACAAGATCCAAACGCTGAACTTTCTTGATCAGCAGATGAAGAGCACAAGTCAGTTCTGAAGAGTGAGCTGAGGTTTGCTTGGATGCAAGATCGAGCAGTTCCATCCATTCCGAATACCCATATCTAATCAGCTCATCCCTCTTGACAACTTCAGTATATGAGTGCTGAGGACCTTGACGAGTGATCAGCAACGTAAGGATTTTCTCGTTTCGAGGTTTAGAAGCTTTGACTTTGATGATCTTATCTCCACACATTCGCCGATTAAAAACATCTTCAAATCTCTTTCGATCAATCCGGTCAAGAACACTGTCAGTCTTAGGCTTGCTAGAGCTAGGAGGAGGTTGAGAAGACTGAGCCTTGGACTGAAATTCCAGGAACTTCTGCATCTGAGCTTCAAAAGATCCCTTGGCCTGAAGTTTGTGCTGAATAAGAGATTCATCAGCTTGAGCAATGTTCTTTAGAAGCTGAGCTCGATTGGCTTCATCAAGAATTTGCTTGACTTGATCAGGGGACATGTTCCATTCAGTGGCAAGGTTTGAAATACTGACAATGGACTTGGGTTTCTTCATAGTTGAAGAAGTATCAGTTTGAGAATGATCAAAGTCAGTATCTACTACCTTCCACTTTCGAGACAGCGGATGAGATTCTTCACTCGCAATATCCGAATCCTCTCCTTGGACCGGAATGATGGGATCAGCAATAGGATCGGCTAATATCGGATGAGATTCTTCAAGGTCATCTAAGCTTTCTTGCTGAACTGGAATGAGAGGATCAATGAAGTTCATGTCAAGAATTTGACATTCATCATCAGGTTCATCATGCTCACTGTCTTCAAACAATTTTTCAGTAGCTGCTGGACTATTATGCCCCGCAGAATCAGATTCAGGAATGGGGTTGGGTGATTCATGCTGAAAGATAGTGTTGTCAGCAGGTTCTGTGTCTTTCTTATTTGGTTCACCATCAGTATGAGCATTTGGTTCACCATCAGCATGATCATCAGCATCAGCATCATCATCAGTATCTCCCCTTTTTTGAGCATCATTAGATTTGGGACTAGAGGGAGGAGTAAGTAAGAGAACCTCCTTGATTTGTTGAACATCAGCCTCAATACGAAGCAGACGCTGACTCATGTCCCGAGTCAGTGACATCAGTTCAGAAAATGCTGAAGCGGGAATTTGAACCATTGAGGTACCTGGGGCAACTGGAGAGCTAGGTTGCATCCTTGGAGAGAAGTGGTGAGCTGCTGGTGATGGATGCTCCCCCTGAGACTGATGCTCCCCCTGTGATGGTTGCTCCCCCAGAGGCATGGAATCCTGTGGTGCTGAGGAGGCTTTGCCAGTGTCCGAGATGAGGTGATGAGAAAGTTGAGGGGAGAAATGGCCGCCATCATGATGTTCCACCTCTTGATCAGCACGATCCATACGATTACCATAGCACCTCCTTCATCAGTGTCAGCGGTGAGAGAAGGCATAGTGTATGGATTGGCAATCCATTCTCTCATCCTATCGGAGATTCCAATGTCAGTATCCAAAGGATCATCCTGATACATACGAACGGACATTCGAGGGCATTGGATTGGATTCCCAGAGTGAGAAAAGTAGTCAGCAGCGAAGAATTTGTCGAACACCAGGGCAATCCAGCGTGGAAAGGGAACATGATCAGCACACACATTTTCACGTAGAAGCTGAACAAGCTGATCAAAGAATAGTGCCCCATAATCTAATCTTTTGTTGAGAAGAAGGGAGCAGACGACTTGTTGCTCATAATTGCTCAATTGATCACCACTGCGAGACTTGTGACCCACACACTTGCATAAAGCACCAGTGAAAAACTTCCAGCCTGGGGTCATGCACTGACGCAAAATAAGAGCTGATCGAGTACCAGCCTTTGAATGATCATAGCCCAGTTGATCAAATATTCGTTTACATCTTTCAATAGTTGGAGGTTCAGAAAAGGGTTCGAAAATTGGTAACCTTAAAGCAGCACTGAGTAGTTCTGCGGTGATGAAGACAGAGTGTCTGCCATGACCAATGGTTCCGGTGATGGCATTGTTTTCTTCATTAACTGTTGCAGTATAGTAAAACTCACATACTTGTTCAGGGAAGAACTCGGACGGTACATCACTGATTGCATATCGAAGGCGGCAAGAAGCCAAGAAATTGACGAAATCATCGAGTCCAAGACCTCGATGAACCTCTGGAATGTCAGGGTTGAAGACGACATTGGTTGCCTTGATGTGAATTGGAAGTGGAGGAGAGTTTGGGGCAGGAACGACTCTTCGAGAGGTTGAGGAGTATGTGAACAGAGATGCCGCCATTGGAGAGTATTTGAGAATTCTAGGGTTTTTGAGAAAAGTTCAAGGTTTTGGAAGGAAAAATTAAACCAAGGGAGAAAGAGGTTTAAATATGGAATGAAAAGTGGGTTTTTAAAAAGGTAATAATTATCTTCATTAAAAAGGTGATGATTATCTTTATTAAGAATAACGGCACATCGTAACAACCTGTCAGAGTAGAAAATAGCCGTTGGATAAAAAGCCGTTGACTGAAGGTGAAACGTCAATCAGTGTTTGCGGAAGCGCTGAGCTCAGTGTCACAAAAGTTACGTGCTGAGAATATTTCTCCGTCAATTCAAGGTACAACTTGCTTAATCGGGGCTAGCAAGGAGATTGGTGCGTGTGATAGATACTAGTTACATTATCTAACCATCGGCACAGAGTGTTGTGACTTCATCAGTGAGTGGTTTATCTTACTGAATCATTAGACACTGAATAAGAGGAGGGTAAAGAATGGATTGTTGCGTGTGATAAACCTTGGTGTTTTTGGTCTAACCATCGGCAAAGATTTTTAGACTCTGATCAGTGTGTGTTTTGGCACACTGAATCACAGAATCAGTGTAAGATTGGTGAGAAGGGGTAGTTGCGTGTGATAAATCTTGGTGTTTTGATCTAACCATCGGCAAAGAGTTTCAAGTCGTTATCAGTGTATGGTTTAATACAGTGAATCATTCAACTTTTGTTTAGAAGACTTGAAGAAGAGATAAAGATAAGAAATCAAACCAAAGTGCTCAGTAGCAAATATCATCAGTATGTCATCATCAGCACAATGTACATCAGCTTATAAGACAATATCAAACATTAGCACAATTAAACGTCAAAATTAATTACAAGGAAATCATTCCCAGTTCTCCGATAATGTAAGCAGTTGATTGAGAATCCAGTGCCTTTGTGAAGATATCAGCAAGTTGCTCCGAAGTCTTGACATGTTCAAGAACAACTTTTCCTTTTTCAACATTATCTCTGATGAAGTGATGTCTGATTTCAATATGCTTTGTCTTTGAGTGCTGAACAGGATTTTGTGTGATCTGAATGGCACTGGTGTTGTCACAATATATGGGAGTCTTTGAGAACTTGAACCCATAGTCGAGAAGCTGATTTTGAATCCATAAGAGCTGAGCACAACATCTCCCAGCGGCAACATACTCAGCTTCTGCAGTTGAGATGGCTACTGATGTTTGTTTCTTGCTAGACCAGCTGATGAGACGATTGCCAAGGAAGTGACATCCACCAGATGTACTCTTTTTGTCTAAATTGCATCCAGCATAATCTGAGTCAGTGTATCCATAAAGTTCAAATGCTGAGTCACGAGGATACCACAGAGCAAGGTTTTGAGTTCCCTTCAAGTATCGAAAAATACGTTTGACAGCCATGAGGTGAGATTCTTTTGGATTAGCTTGGAATCGAGCACAGAGAATGGTTCCAAACATAATATCAGGACGACTTGCTGTGAGATATAAGAGGGATCCAATCATTCCTCGATACAGAGAGTGATTGACATCAGTTCCAGTTGGATCAGCGTGTATCTTATCAGTCTTAGACACTGGAGTAGAGGCTGGTTTGCAGTCACTGAGAGAATACTTAACAAGCAGGTCAGATATATATTTACTTTGACAAATGGAAATACCTGTCTTTTGTTGCTGAACTTCAAGACCTAAGAAAAAGGTCATCTTCCCCATCATGCTCATTTCGAACCTTTGAGACATGATCTCTGCAAATTCCTTGCTCAGTGTCTCATTTGGAGAGCCAAAAATGATGTCATCGACATAAATTTGAACAAGAACCATGTCTGAGCCTTTTTTTTGATGAAGAAAGTATTGTCGATTGCTCCTCGTCTGTATCCATTTTCAAGCAGATACGATGTCAGCGTCTCATACCAAGCCCTGGGAGCTTGTTTCAGTCCATAAACAGCTTTGTCTAACCGGTACACGTAATCAGGATGATCTTTGTCCACAAAGCCTGGGGGCTGATTTAGGAATACTTCTTCTTCTAACACACCATGAAGGAATGCTGTTTTCACATCCATCTGATAGACAATGAAGTTCATGTAGGATGCGTATGCGAGAAACAGTCTGATAGCTTCAATGCGAGCAACTGGAGCAAAAGTTTCCCCGTAGTCGATGGATTCAATTTGAGTAAACCCTTGAGCTACAAGCCTTGCCTTGTTGCGAGTGATGATTCCATCTTTATCAACCTTGTTACGATAGACCCAGCGAGTTCCAGTGATAGTTTCCCGGATGGTCTTGGGACAAGAGTCCAAACTTTGTGCCTTTCAAACTCATTCAGTTCTTCTTGCATGGCTTTGATCCAATCAGCATCTTGAAGAGCTGTGTGTACTTTATCAGGTAAGATCATTGAAACAAAGTTAACATACATGCAAAAGTTATTAAGTGCACTAGATCTGGTTCGGACACCATCATGAATATTCCCTATAATTCGATCAACAGGATGATCTCGATGTTCAATGACTGATGCTGATTCCGGAGAGATAGACACTGACACATTATCAGTTTCAGGAGAATCTTCAGCTTCAAGGGTTTCATCAGCACTTAATGAATTATCTGCTGATGTGGCTGCAATATCTTGATTCAAGGAACATGGAACTGGAATGATAGGATCAGAGGAATCAGTCTTATCTTCAGCAGAAGGTGCTTCATCGAATGGACAAGAGAGAAGCTCTTGAAAGATAGAAGGAGAATGAGTGACTTTTTCATCAGTGTATGATTCCTCATCAAACTTCACATGAATGGATTCTTCAACACATTGCCTATTCACATGAAAAACACGAAAAGCCTTTGAAATAGATGAGTACCCAACAAAAATACCTTTATCAGCCTTAGGTTCAAACTTGGATCTTGGGTCACGCTGATTTAGAATATAACAAATGCATCCGAACACATGAAAAAAGGATACATCTGGTTTTCGATCTTTCAGCATTTCATATGGAGTCTTCTTGTGAATCCTGTGAATTAGAGATCGATTCTGAGTAAAACACGCTGTATTGACAGCTTCAGCCCAAAACGACATAGGAAGACCAGCATGGATCATCAAGGTTCTTCCTGCCTCAATCAGTGTTCTATTCCTTCGTTCAGCAACACCATTTTGCTGAGGAGTACGAGGAGCTGAGAAGTTTTGTCCAATTCCTTTATTGTCACAAAATTCTTCAAGAGTTGAGTTTCGGAACTCAGTACCATGATCACTTCTTAGTTGCTTAACTTTAAGACCTGTCAGTGTCTCATTTTTACGAATCAGTGAGATAATTTCCTGTGCAGCATGACTTTTCTTCTTCAAGAAAACTACCCAAGTAAATCGAGTGAACTCATCAACGACCACTAGAGTATACTTATTTCCACCTAGTGAACGAACAGGAATAGGTCCAAACAGGTCCATGTGGAGTAGATAAAGAGGGACTGATATACTGGAACATGACTTGGGTTTGAAAGAGGACTTGGTTTGTTTTCCTTGTTCACAAGCTGAGCACATCTTGTCTTTCACAACGCTGAATTTTGGGAGCCCTCTAACTAGGTCTTGATTGGATATCTTGGATAGATTCTTGAAGTTCAGATGAGAAAACCTTTTGTGCCAAATCCAGCTAAGATTCGTCTGAGACTTTGTAAAGAAACATTGCATCAGTGCCTTGTCACTTGAGAACATGTCAAGAACATATATATCATCTTTTCTACTTGCTGAGAGTACGATGTTCTTGTCAGTGTTTACAACTCTTCCTTCCTTCTTTGTAAAGTGAACTTCATAGTCAGCATCACACAACTGACTGATAGAAATGAGGTTGTGTTTGAGACCCTTTACATATGAAACGTTTTGAAAAACCACGTTATTGCATTTGATGTTTCCATATCCCTTAGTGAACCCCTTTCCATTGTCTCCATAAGTAACTGCAGGACCAGTTTTCTTAACATAATCTTCCAGGAGAGACTTTGATCCCGTCATATGCCTTGAGCAACCACTATCTAAATACCAAAGATGCTCCTGACCCTGCAGTACTGAGAAACTAGTTAGAACACACTGACCCATTCAAAGATGGGTCATTCACAAAGTTATTTGATAATAGATTATAACACTCCTTAGGAAGACAGTTTAAAGAGTTTGACTTAAGAGTCCATTTTTCATTTCTAACTTTAATATTTTCAGCTCTTGAGGATGATTTATCAAAAGAACATTCACTGATCTTGTGAGAGGAATTACCACATCTGTAACAAACTCTAGTACCAAAGTTCTTCTTGGTGAGCAAATTTTTTGATTTAACACATTTTGACATGTAAGATTCACCAAGAGAGCTTTGAGTCCTTTTGCTTATCATTGAGTCACGACTGAATTCAGTATCAGGAGGAGTTTGATCAGTGTTAGGTGATAAACTATCAGTATCTGATTTTGACTCATTCACAGATGGATTGCAATCAGGGAAGTGCTTGAGTTGTTCATGAACAGCATGAAACACTCCATTTGAGATAGGAAAAGCAATAATATTCTCAGTTAGAGGGATTGGTCTAACAAGATGTGCAGGATAAGAGGTAGGATCAATTCCGGTAATTTCAACATTACACTCAGTGATACCATCAGAATTAGTAATGCAATATTCATCAATTAAACTTTGATTAATAAAAGAGTTACTGACAAACTTATTTTTGAAATTGTTTTTCATCACATTCATGGAATAGACCTCAGATTCCTTTTCTTGTGATTTAAAAACTTTTTCAGCTTCTGCAAAATTACCCCCAAGAATTTTCTCACAAGAATGTGGAATTTGAGCTGAAATAATATAATTAGCATTCTTATGAGATTTTGCCCAAGTGTGAAGCACAGTTTGTTCTTTGATCAAAAGATTTTTAACATCATCAATTTCAGCAGACAAAGATGAATTTGACAAACTAGTAATTCTAAGATTTTCCTGAGTGGACTCAATAATACTATTTTTCATGGATATATCAGTTTCAAGAAGATCAATTTGATTTTGCAAATTTCTTATGGTTTGATTCTTCTTAGAATTAATGACACCCAAATACTCAAACATTTTGATTTTTTCATTCATTGAATAGGAAACAAAGTTTTTAACCTGGTACATTGAAGAAGAGTCAATGTTGTGCTTCCTGGAATTTTCAGCATCAGACATATCAGTGTCAAAAGTACTTTTGTCTTTATCAGAAATAGCCGGGTCCTCTATTTTGACCATTAGACACTTGACTTCATCATCTGATGACTCTTCATCAGTTTTCCATTTTTCTTCTTCAGCTACAAGCACTTTATGTTCCAAGTTTTCAGCTTTCAGCTTCTCAATCAGCTTGTTGTACTTCTGCTTCCAGTATTCATCTGAGCCTTGTTTCTTTTGTTTACAATCCTTTGCAAAATGATCAGTGCTCCCACAGTTAAAGCACTGAGCCTTCTCTTTCTTATCAGCACCATGCCTTTTATCAGCTCCTGACCCTTTTGAGAACTTTCCACCCATCTTCTTTTGAAACTTTGAGAAGTTTCGACCTGATTTTTCAAAGGTCTTCACAATCAAGGCTGCACTTGCCACAACCTTTTCAAGATCATCAGTGTCAGTTTTAGATGAATCAGTATCTGAATCAATTTCAGTGTCTGAATCTGACACCAGCTTTTTGTTGGAGAATAAGGCTACAGAGGATTCACGCTGAGAATCTTTCATCAGTTCCTTTCTTTGAAGCTTGGATTCTTCATAGTATCGAAGATTTCCATAGAGACTTTGTAAGTCCATAGAGTTGATCTTCTCACTGTTTTTCAGCACATCAACATGATTCTCCCAACCTGCACCCAGAGAATCCAAAAACTTTTGCACTAGAACAGTTCTATGCTTCAACTGATCTAGTCTCCGAAGATCATTAACAAGAGTATTGAATCTGTTAAAAGTTTGAGTCAAGGTTTCACCTTTCTTAGCAAAAAAATGTTCATACCTTCGATTAAGATCATTTATTTGAGTAGCCTTGACTTCTTCAGTTCCTTCAAAAGATACAGTCAGAGTATCCATCATCTCTTTTGCTGAGATGCAATTTTGAACCAGCCCAAAGATGTATGGCAGAGAGTAGCTGATTGCGGCACGAGCACGAACATCTAGACCATGTTTTCTCTTGTCATCTGCCGTCCAGTTTTCTTTGGGAGTTTTCTTCATAGTACCATCAGGAACATTATTTTTAAGAGGCTGATACATCGGAACATAAGGACCTTTTTCAACGATGTCCAGCATGTCTTCATCAACAGACTCTAAGGCATATAGAGCCTTTATTTTCCACATAGCAAAGTTCGTTTCATCGAAAGGAGGGATTTTAGTAGAAGGATGATTTGATGAGTTTGATGAAGAAGAAGATGAAGCCATTTGTTTGATTAAAGAAACCCGCTCTGATACCAATTAAAGAGGCCTTTAGATCAATCGATATATCAAACAAAGACAATAAATAAGAACAATAGAAATTCACGAAGAAAAACTTTCACTAAGAAAGAGAATCTCACAAAGAGATTATCGTGTGCACAAAGCGACGATTAGGGTTTGTGAAAGGCGTGATAATTCACAAACCTGTACAAGATAATATACACTGTTATTCTAGACAATCCCTACAATACAGGGATAAGCTAGCTAATAAATCAAGATAACTAAGGAAACAGAATAAATACATGATTTGTTACAATGCACTGAATAAACTAAACTAATACAAACTGAGCAGTTACACGCTGGTGCTGATGCTGAGACATGTACTGACGCTGAGTCTGTTTTAAACATAATCATATTTCAAGGTTTGACCTTACATATATTCAGTTTTAACCCATTTCTTGTTCGATCCGATGGGTGTCTCGACACTTGATTTGGAACTTGAAGCCGGCTGCCGAGATGACTTTGACCTAACTGGTCTTGGCTTCACTGGAGCATCTCTTCAACTAGACTTTTAGGCCGGCATTCCCTTCTTGTTCTTGGGAGTTGGATGCTTGGCCTTGTATGCATTCCAGTCATCATGGTCTGAACGTGACCTTGAGGGGTTTCTTTTGGAGTATCTCCCTCTTGGTGCATTCTGCCAGCCTTGTGCATAGTAAGGAACGTATGCGCGACTTGGACAGTTTCTGGCAATGTGTCCAGGTGTTCCACAGTGAAAACAAGTCCTTTTCTTCATTGGGAAATTGTTTTTTCCTGCCCCTGGTGGCATATCTTTGCCTTGTTTCTTATTGTTCCCACATGCACACTTGTGACAAGAACTCTGTTGCGTTGGAATTGGTGGTCTGTATTTCTTAATGGCAGGTTGATCAGGAGCAGTTGAGTTCGAAGCAACAGATTCAGAGTTCAAAGAGATGTTGGTTTGTTCAATGGTTTTCTCCTTATTCTCATCTTCTGCTACTTTACCTCCACATGAAGCAGAAACATTAGTATTTTCAACATTAATAACTCCTCCTAACACAAATCCAGCTCGTTTGCCATATCGAAGATGTGGCTCCCTGTCAGTTTCGTCCTGTGTCATAGGGATGGATGTGTAGTTATGATTATAAGGAGGAGGTACACTATCATACCCTAGACCCTTGTTTTGATTTTCTTTGAATTTTAATTGAGTTTCATACAAGGACTCGACTATCTGACTTGACGTAGTATAATTTTTGAAATTGACATCTGTTTTTCCACACTTAATTTTTAAAGTGTCAAGTTCTTCAGTTACAACAACAAGTTGTCTCTTAATATAATCATAATTTTCACACTTATTGCTATACTCTTCCTGAAGCTTCCTAAAGTCCTTGGTTTTTGCTTCTAATTCAGCCTTCAGGGGTTTCTGACCTTTCCTGAGTTGATATCCTTCATATCTCAGGTCCTCAACTTCTCTTTTTAATAAATCAGTTTGTTCTCGAAGAAATTTAATCGTAGCTTCACAAGCTGGAGTACATGTAACTTTAGTGACCGGACTGTTTTCAGAACTCATTATTTCTCTAAACTTCAAAGCATCAAGTTCTTGAATTACATCAGCAAGACTAAGATGATTGAGATCTTGTCTTCTTGATGATAGACACGTTCATGTCCCACGATTTCGGAAGTGAATTTAGCAACTTTTTGTTTATCTCGGACTTAGTGAAGAAGATCCCGGCTATATTCATCTCAGTAGTGAGTGTAGTAAATCGCTGCAACTGAGTTTCAAGGGTTTCTCCAGGGATATAATCGAAAATGTTAAAATTTTGTCTTAACATATCCTGACGACTCTCTTTCATGTTTTTAACTCCCTCGAAGACCTTAAAATCAATTAAAAAGTACAACTAGAAGCCAAAATCAAACTTAAAAGTCAAACCCTTTGATTATAAACCTCAAAAGTCAACCTTAAAAGTCAAATTTAAAAGGTTAAACTCAAAAGTCAAACTTGAAAAAGTCAAACTTAAAAGTGAAACCAAAAAACTAAATTTGAAAATTTGAAAATTAAACGAAAAAGTCAAAAGTTAAACTTGCAAGTCAAAATCAAAATTTAAGGTCAAAAGTTAAAAAAATAAAAGTAAAAAATTAGAATATAATTTATTTATTAATTTTAATTTATTAATTTTAATTTATTTTTTTTTATTTATTTATAATTATTTTATTATTATTATTATTATTTTTTATTAATTTTCTTTTATTTTGGATGAAAAAGAATTTAGAATTAAAAGAAGTTGAGTTTTGGGGTTAAAAGTGTAAAAAATGAGAAATTTGAACCGAGAAAATCACTTTATGAATTAAATTCGGAAGGAGTTTATCGCCTAGCAAGTTAGATGAGCTGGTAAAGCTCTAAATGGAGGAACCAGAGGTCGCGTGTTCGATCCTCTGAAGCCCCAAATCAGTTCCCTATTTTTTTAATAAGCGAAGCGAAGCAGGTTGCGAGGATGAGGCTGCTGAGCGAGGCTGTAAACCACCGAGTCCGACGCCGTAAACTCCGAGCCGCAAGCTCGAACTGTGAATCCTAGCCGCCGGCTGTGGACTGTTTCCGGCAGTAAATTCCGGCCGAAAACCCTTCAGCGATTTCGTGAAAAACAACGATTTTTCGACTTTGACTCGATCAAAAACCATTTTTTATGAAAAACACGAAGAACAAACCCCCCTTACTTTTGTGAGATCTATCCAAAAACGCAAGAATATTTCGAAAATAAGATCAAATAATACCCCAAATCTGACAAAATTGACTGATACAACTTTGCTCTGATACCAATTGTAACTCCCTAATTTGCCCGTGTATCAGTCAGATCCGTTTGATGGTGCGGAAGAAGAAGAATATGAATCATGAATGTATTGATAATATGAATTAAGTTCCTTACACAAAAGATTCACCCACACACGATGCTCTCTAGCCGTAAACTCCTTAGGGTTCATCAATCTATTCCTCACACCCTAATACCTATATTTATACTAAGGGAACATGATCCGGAAACAAATGGGCCGTAAATGAGTTTACGGCCGTAAGGTGTTTACGGCCGTAAACTCAGCCATAAAATAGACTATAAATTCATAAATATTACAGAAAAATATAATTGCCCAGAAAAGTAAAGTATAAACCATATTTTAACCCAACAGGTACATTCTTAGTGAACTCCTTACCTGCTCTGGAATTGTTTGACTCGGGGGAGAGTAAGTCCTTTGTCTCCTGATCCCTTAGTAGGGAGTTCGGTTTACCTTTTGAAGAGCTAGAGTGTTCGCGTGACTCCCCATCG